GAAACGTATTGAAAGAATCCTCAAATAAATATACTGCATTACAGTAATATTTAACTTGTTCTAGAAAGCAGGATATATAAAATATAGAAAGAAAGGAACATTAGAGACAGACTGGCCTGGTTTAAATGCCTGTTAAAGACAAATTAATGAATTTGGCAGGGTTTTAGTTTCCATTAAAATTAAGATAGTAACTCATTGTTATTATTTCATGGGATCTTGAGGTTAAGAGCCTTGGTGATTCAGAAGTGCACTCAGCTGCTAACTGCAGAGGTTAGCTATTCAAACCTCCTAGCTTCTCCTTAAGAAAGCTCTTGCAGTCTGCTTCAGTAAAGATTCGCAGCCTTGGAAGCCTTCTGCTCTCTCTTCTGTGGCCACTATGAGCCAGAATTGAGTTGAAATTATTCATTATTATATGCCATTCTTAACTCTCTGTGGGACTTCTTGTTGTTGTGTGCCATTGAGTTGAGACTGTGACCCATAGCTGAACCTCCAGTTGGTTTTTAGAGGCAGTAAATCACACCAGAATTGATTTCCTGTCTTTCTTCCATGGAGCAGCTGGTGGATTCGAACTGCATGCTTTGGGGTTGACAGTGCAGTTCCTTACCTAAGGCACCAGAGCTCCCTCACTGAAGCTTAGTACATTCTTTTCAACATAGCTGGCATATTAAAAAGATATCTTTTAATACGGTTATTTTTATTTCACCCATGCTTAGATCTGACGATGAGTAGTTTACACAATATGGTATTGTTCTGGAGTGAATGCTAGTTGCAGTTGTGAACTCTCAGCTTTGGTCTAGATTAATGGGGCAGAGTAAACCAAGATGTGGAAAATCTTCAAAATCTTTTGTCTTAGATAGGATGATATTTGAGATAAGCATTAAAGAAGAGGGGGATGGGTTTATAAGAATTAGAGTTGAGCAAAGACTCAAATACCAGCCCTGCTGTTTACTGGCATTGTGATCTCTCTGGAGGGAACTTTCCTTACATGTAAGATGTGATGATTCTTTGTCAAAAAAAGGAACGTATGTAAAGTATGTAGCCTAAGATAATCAGCTAGTAATTGGTGTCATTTAGTAAATGGTGAGATAACAATATAATATGAGTAAAAAGCAAGGAACTTCAGTGATTTAAAGATGAGCAGTGAACAGTCCTTGGGCCCCACCTGAGGATCCACTCTCACAATGATTCTTTGTGTACAGGTAGCCAACATGTCCTTGAAGATTCAGACAAGCAATGTAACCAACAAGAATGATCCCAAATCCATCAACTCTCGGGTCTTCATTGGAAACCTCAACACTGCTGTAGTGAAGAAGTCAGACGTGGAGACCATCTTCTCCAAGTATGGCCGTGTGGCTGGCTGCTCCGTGCACAAGGGCTATGCCTTTGTCCAGTATGCCAATGAACGCCATGCCCGGGCAGCTGTACTGGGTGAAAATGGACGAGTGCTGGCTGGGCAGACCCTAGGTGAGTTTTTCTACAGAGCCCTGCTCCTAGAGGGTGCTGTTCTTCATTCTCTAGCTCTCCCTTTGGCCCCCCTTTCTACTTCCCCCCATCACTACAACTGCTCTGAGATTTTATAACTTAAGGAGTTATAAATGAGATATTTGCAAAATTGATAGTAATGGAGAGAATTTTGAAAGCACCTGGAAAATGCTTTTGTAATGGAAGCCTTTTAAATGACAAGTAAACTACTGAAAAGGAACAGTGGACATGCAAAGCCGCAGTGGGCTACAGATGACTAGGTTAGAGCCCTCTCTGAGAGCCAGTAGCAGGGGCTTGAGAGTGCAAGCACAAAGCAAGGGCCCTTGACCTGGATGTAGATACATGTCTGTGCCCATTCTGAGATCTGCCCTTGAGTTTCTGCTGTGTGTACTTTTGTGTATATGTGTGTATTTGAGAAAGGATATTTAATATGTAATGTTCACTCTGTGATACTAGAATGTGATTGAACATGTCGAGAATATATGGACACATATTTTTATGTGTATGTTAGAATTTGAGTGAGTCAGCAAATATGCATATATTTTACCAGATAATTTATTGGATTCCTGTCATGCACCAAGCAACACTCTCGGCATAAAGACATTTTGAAGAAAGCCTTATCAGTATACATGTGTTCATTTGCATATGATCAGTTTATGTGTGTTTATAGTGTTGGAGCCAGTTGAATGTTCTTGAGAGTTATATGTTGTGTGTATGTGTGTGTGTGTGTGTGTGTGTGTGTGTGTATCTTTATGCATGGATATGTTAGTGTGTCTTTATATGTAGCCCAATACCTATGACTGCATGATAATGCAGATACACATGATG